CGCGCCATTATTCTATGGCTAGAAATTGGCCTCAATGATTTGGGATCGAGGGGGATTATCCCTCTTTATCCTGCCTCATCTCGTGTAGGCCTGGACAGCCTTCGTAGGTGGGCCCCATCCGTCGTCTACCCCGACCGCAAATGCGGCCGGTGTAGGCGCTTTGTGGGACTGTAGGGCATCCAATACTAATTATGGATCTAAATATTCCTACTTTAGATTACTTGATATAGCCTGTGTAAATAGAAATATCGTCTTCAATTTTAAATGTTAGTTTATCTAACCTCAGAACTGGCATGCTGCTTCTTGTTAGCTTTATTATATTTTACAGCTCCACGCTCGCTGAAGTTTCGGGTATGTACCTATCTACTAGAAATCTCGATGTACTACGTGCATTTAAATGACGGTCTTCATAAATGTTTCTTTCCGTTCTACCTACATATATCGTAAAAATTCTCTTTATTCACACAAATCGTTTCATATTTTACATGCTGAAGGAAAACTGAACAGGCGAGAAGTTTTACATGTTTAATCTTTTCTAATAATCTGGATGAAAAAATAAAATAAAATGCAAAATACCATAGAATTATCAAGATGTTAAAGACAGACTACTGAAATACCTAGCTATTTCAATACAATAAAGATTAGAAGGCAAGCATATCTTATCAACAATTTTTTCTTTATAATTTAATTTTCAAAAAGTACAATAATGTATTGTATCTTTCATTCCCTCTCGACAAAGTTGATAGATATTTTTGTTCTTGGCGAAATATTTGCGAAAATGTAGTGAATTGTCTAGGGTTTTCAGAATATGTTAAAATGAGCTGATGATGCTGAATTTCTAAAAGGAGCCCAACAGATATTTGCATGTTATAATGAAGTTTCAAGATGAAAGTGTAGGAAGTACCTTGTGATTGTGTAGTTTGTCTACAGTAATTAAATGACTGTATTAATTGCAATCAATTCGTGAAATTTACAGTGAAGATAAGTGAAACATCGGGATATCCAATTTCTGCATAATAATCGATCATTTTATCAAACGTTTTATTTTTTAATATTTAGGTATTAAAAAAACGTATTGTTTCTCTACTGTCTTCATATTTTTATATTGGTGTTAAAAGTGATTTTCCCAGAGAACTGTTGTAAATTGTAAATCAAAAGTTGTTCTTGTTGAAATAAAAATATATATATCTATATATGCAAAAAAGGTTTATTTGTTTCTTATATGTATGTATAATATATAAAATCAGTTGATATAAAATATCAATATACTTAATAGACTTTCGCCGAACACATTTTTTAATTAGGAACTTAATTACAATTAAACCAAACTCATTTGTGTTCTGAAGGTAGGATGCGCGGTGGCAAAGTAGCGAAATGACGAACGACCTATATGGGTTAGGTTAGGTCTGTATATTTGCATTCCTGAACCTTTTCAGAAAAATTCAAATAAATCTACGTCATCGAATACCTCATAATTTTTTACATTACGTTTTATTTATTCGATAAAATATAACAATATTTTAATAAGTATGCAGTGGGTGATATTAGTTCATCAATTGTATTTTTACAGTTAATGTAGAATTTTATGTCTAGCAGCGCACATGTTATATAATAAATAAGGATTAAGATATAAAGAAAATTCCTTTGTGTAGCTTGTCACAGAGGGCAATAAAGCTCTCTAAGCTGTATTTTCTGCACAGCTTAAGCTGAAAAGTTGAATTGCATAGTGCTGCCTCGTTTTTATCATTACATATATGATTTTCTAGTAGGTACGCACTATTCTGTTCTATAAAAGCGATTTTCACGTGAAACGGGTAAAGTGTAAAAATACTAATTCGTGCCTATACCTAGTCCTCCTTTTAACAAAACCTCAATCTGTTATATAAGTATACTTTTTAGGGGCAGCACCCTTAATACATCTATCTATTTTTTAAATCACAAACAGACGGTAAGTATATATCAATATATTGGATTTAAGCATTATTTTTCTCCGGCAAGTCAAGAACTGAATGCAATTTTTTTTTTATTTGAAAGGATGAAGATATTTGCACTCTATGTTTAAAAGGTTGAGTGCAAAGTAATTTTATTTACCTGAGATCTCAACTAATCTCAATTATTCTGAGTGCTGATTATTGAACTAAGCGAGATTCACAAAACATGCGAGATTACTACATCTCAGATAAAAATAAAACAGGGCTATTATAGGTAATAAAATGTTGGTATGTACGAGTCGTAGATCAATGCATTAATTTCTCCTTCTGCCCCTTGTGCCAGGCAACTAACAATACATTCTTGCGGTTTCAATGTTTTTTGTATTTACGTCGCAAATTATTATTAAAATAAATGCATGGTTTTAATTTGTTTTTAATATGGAAGGATAATAACAATAATAAATTCTTTAATAGTAAATTTTGATACTTATAAAAATAATAGTATTGCCTCATTTAAATATCCCGCCATCCTAAATAAGGTAATTTAATTTTTTTATTTTACTGGTGGTACTTCTGCAAATAGAGATGTATGCCAAAGATGGCAGCGTATGTTTGAAATATGTGATACATTTTTTTGAAAAGTGGCTTAAAATTTTCAAATTTCTCTTAAAACATGCTGAACCAGGTCTCAGTTGAGGCTGTTTATTCAGCTACTTATGTGGAAAATTATTTGGACTTTGTGGAAAATTTCCCAGATGAGTTACAGAGGCTTATATCCAGAATGCGAGAACTGGATGTCTACTATTTAGGTAAATGATTGTTAGAAAATACATTTTACCATCGAATTCTTGAATAAGCTCTTTTTTTAAATAACTTACTCCTAAGCATTTCTTAAAAGTATAAATAATGACAAATAATTAAATATTACTAGGCTTTATCGCTATAATTGTAAATTTTTTTATAATGTGTAGCAATGTTAATGAAGTTATTTTTTTATAGCTCGAGTAAGAGAAGTTGCCTTACAAACTGAAAAATATAAGAGCATCGGAAATGATAACCCTACAAGAAAGGCGAGAAGCTTTAGCAGAATGCAGCAAGCATTAATTGCTGCTCAGGAATTAGGTGACGAAAAACTGAGTGTACTTCAAGATATTCTAGACAGAATTGAAGCCAAAAGTCGGCTGCTGGAAGACGATTTTAAAAATTTAGGTAAGTTCAAGAATAGTCGATTTACTCACTGGTTTTTTGACTATGTGCATGCTGTAGCTAAAATTTTAATTATGCTTCTATAGATTTTGGTAAAGAAGAGCTGACTCAGGCTGAAAATAAGGAACAACAGCCTCCAGCTAACAGTACACAAACAAACAACAATACTTCTTTGTCTAATAATGAGAGACCGTCAAAACGGCAGCGAAGAACAAGAAATGATGCTTTTTCCGGACTGGAAAACAATCACAATGATGCAGCCCCCGCTGAACATGTCCTGAGGAGTCAAGTGCCAAGTAGTACTTCAAGTGGTTCTGTACAAAAGAAATCGACAACAGGTAGGCTGTTTTTTATTTATAGTTAAGCACCTCAATTTTACGTAATAGCTGTTGAAAAAGTAAAATATAAGTTTCAATTTTTGTTCTAGGCAAGAAGAAGAAACGCAAATCACGCCAGGCGGCTCAAGCCCAGAAGGAGGAATCTCCTCCAAGAGAAGAGGAACCAGCCATTGACCCTGACGAGCCTACATATTGTCTGTGTGATCAAATTTCTTATGGAGAAATGATCATGTGCGACAATGACTTGTGTCCAATAGAGTGGTTCCATTTCTCTTGTGTAACTTTGACCACAAAGCCAAAAGGTAAATGGTACTGTCCGAAATGTAGAGGAGATAGGCCCAATGTCATGAAACCGAAGGCACAATTCTTGAGAGAACTCGAAAAGTACAATAAGGAGAAAGAGGAGAAGACATAATATTTTATTTTTATATTTTATCAAATTTTATAAAAAATCAAACTATTGTTTTAATATTATTTAATGTGGTTTAAAGTACTAATAAAATGTCTTGAATCATGTTGGTTTTACAAAGTGAAAATTTTTAAATATATGCAGCTTTTTAATTACTTAGTGGAACAGAAAATTCAGACGATGAAATATTTTCATAACATTCAAAAATACTAAATTCATGAAATAATTGCATTTTAATGCATAAAAAACTGATTCTTAATTTTGTTAAACATATTCGTACGCTCTCATTTTAAAAAATGTTTCAAAATTGTACATACTATCTTGTCAACTTCTAACTTTAACAAATTTTGTGAATTAAAAAAATAGAGGCTTCAGTTATATAACCGTAATTTTGAATACATTTAACTTTCTATTATAGTAAGAGCAATAAAATGTTTTCACTAATTTCCCAAGTTAACAATATGTCTTCCGTTTGTTTTTATAACACTTACTCGACATATCCTATTTCACATATTTTATGTTTAGGCTGATTTTGTGTTAAGATTTTTTGCAAATGATTTGAATAAAAATATTTTTACTCCATCCATACTCCAAATATAAGGACAGTATGAAAAATAAGAAAATACAAAGAACGAATAATTTCTATTTCATATAGTTGGCAACACTAATCAAAGTGACAGAATTGTCAACGACTGTCAAATCACGTTACGTCAATAGTCAAATCAAATGACTGTTACACCCGGCACACCCATAATGATTTTTACTTAATTATTCAATTTTATAGCATTTTTTATCACTAAACCCTTTCGAAATTCGCAGTTCAGTTGTATAGAACATCTCTATTTACTTTATATTTTTGTGCAATATTACTTACACAAGATAGAAATACTATTGGCACAATTGCTGATCGACAATTTTTAAATTAGGGTAAACAACTTCGTGGCTGGCTGGTGACTTTTGTAGTAAGTTCTAGGTCAAAGGACGTCCTGATTGACTTTAGTAATCATAATCATTTAAGTGTTTAAGTCGTCTTGTTTTTTAAAGTTGGAGCTTATTTCACATACTTAAACATTATTTTGTTATAATACAAAATGGTAAGTACCTTCCTTATTACATTAGGTCTTCTAATGAAGTTATTACATAATTTTGTATATATGGTATTTCGTATAAAACTATAGCTTTTCTTGTAACAGTTGTAACAGTAATCAAGCATATTTATGTTTTATGTTTTATTTTCAGTCTGAACCAATTCGAGTTGTTGTTACTGGGGCTGCTGGCCAGATTGCTTACTCTCTTTTGTACATGGTCGCAAAAGGGGATGTCTTTGGACCCAACCAACCTTTGATCCTTCACCTTCTGGATATCCCTCCGATGATGGGAGTTCTGGAAGGTGTTGTTATGGAATTGGCTGATTGTGCACTTCCCTTGCTACAAGCTGTGGTGCCTACTGCAGATCCTGCGGTCGCTTTCAAAGATGTTTCTTCCGCTTTCTTGGTGGGATCGATGCCAAGAAGGGAAGGAATGGAGAGAAAAGACCTCCTTTCTGCAAACGTTAAGATTTTTAAAGTTCAAGGGGAAGCTTTAGATAAATATGCTAAGAAAGACGTCAAAGTCCTAGTTGTAGGAAATCCGGCAAATACTAATGCTCTAGTGTGCTCGAGATATGCACCCTCTATTCCTAAGGAAAACTTTACCGCTATGACCAGATTGGACCAAAACAGGGCCCAAGCACAAATTGCTGCCAAAGTTGGCGTTCCAGTTGCACAAGTAAGTAGTAACAGTTTAATTAATTAATAATGATTTATTAATATGTAAAAATCTATTCTTATTAAATATTTATACTATATTTCATTTAGAATAATTGTATCTGAGATTCTTTGTTTGTTTGTGAACAAACACTTATCCTTAAGATGCTCTAACAAATAATAATTTCACATGACTTACTAGGTATACAGAATAAAATATTTTATGTGTAGCATATTCTAGTATCATCTCAAAAGGTTATCACATAATCTATTATTTTCGTGATGTAATAGAATAGAGATAGATACTGGGAGGTCTTATTAGAATATACAAATACAATCTAATTCTTACTAGATATTCTTAATGTACGTATTTTCCTGTCTGTGTTGAAAATTTGTTTTAATGCTAAAGTAAAGTAAATAATTTTCAAATCTGTTTAAATTATGTAGATCGTTCAGATTGAAATTGTTCCGCTCCTAAACTTCTTAAAGTTTTTAAATCTATATTTCTTGTTATTTGCACCAGACAACTTTTTATTACAAAGCAATTAAATAGTACTTTATTTTTTTTACTACTGAACGATATTGCTGTAACCTTGAAATAACAGTCATCGTAGATGAATATAAACTGAAATTACTCATTATATTGTTCTCTTGTCTAAGATTTTTTTCAAACCAAATTAATTGTTATTTTTTAATTTTTAATTGTTTATCGTGAATTAAATAATAAAAATAACGATATAATATTTTGCCGTTTTATGGATTATATTTCATATTTTTTAATAAAGACAAAATATAATTTTGGTTGTAACAATTAAAAAAAATGTAGTTCAGATTTTTTAAAGTGGTGTATCTTATAGTTAGAAATTTCTATGTATTATATAATTGTTTTGAATTTTAATTTATGTTCCTGCTTTGCGGTACATATTTTGTATTTTAGTTTTCATTTTGTAATTTTTGTCAGGTCAGCAATGTTATTATTTGGGGAAATCATTCTTCGACACAGTTCCCCGATGCAGCACATGCTGTTGTAGTAGTTGATGGAAAAGAGGTTAAAGCTTCAGAAGTAGTCAAGGATTCTGATTGGATTAGAAATACATTTGTACAGACTGTACAGAAGAGAGGTAAGTCTGGTATTTTGAAAAATTTAAAGATATGGGAACTAAAATAGGTGTAGTGGGTGTTTATAAAAAAGTGTCAATTTTTATTGTTTTTTAATGTATTCTTAAAGCAAAAATTTGCAGAACTACTATAAATATTAGTATTAGATTATAAATCACAAAAACGTTTTTAGTAAGTTGGATGCAGTGCTATTATTAGTAAAATGGTAAATAAATCTGGTAAAAATAGATGATTTTGGAGGTCACAGACCAAAATATGTTTTTCATTTTCAAGCATAGAAATTTTCATGTAAATAAAAAATAGAATAGGAAGTTAGTTACAAGTTCAAAAATATCACTTGTTATGTAATATGTTTTTTCCTGTTCTGCTATATGATTTATTAATTTGTATGCCAGAGCAAATTAATTTATGAGTGAAAGAACAAATCATAATTTTTCTTAAAAAAAAATAATTTGTACAGATTACATTGCATATTGAGTTTTTTTTAAGAACTGTTAAAAAAGTATTTCTGCTGACAATCATCCACCAATTCTTACACAAGCTGTTGCTAAGTCAGTGTCATAACTCCAAGAGGTTGTTTCTCATGTCATTATAGATCACAAAACCCTAATGTTTCTTAAAAATTTAATTAGGAATAGGATTTCCAGAATATCCACCATTAGCTGACACATTTATGTGCCGATACTTGATTTTTTTATTTTAATTAATTATACAGGGTGTTCTCAAAGTTGAGTAATTTATTTTAACAGGTGGTAGAACTCATAAAAAAAGTCGATTTAACAAAAATCATTTATATAAATGTGGTCAAATAAAGCTATTAACAATAATTTAAAAAAATTTAAATTTAAAAATTTTATATACAAACCTGATTTATTGTCATTTTCGACCACACCGCTGGAAGATTTGTTTACTAACATGGACAATTTCTCGATCTCTACAATTTCACGTGGAGGAAGTCTTCCAGTGTGACCTCGTTGTTTCTTTAAATACCGTGTGTTGCAGAGTCTTATAACTAAATTTACACACCTTTCCGGGTACAAGCGACATGCTACGGCTGCATTTTGTTGACACTTCCCGTAAGTTAATATTTTGTCCACTGGTTCATTGTTTTCATAAACATGTGTCATTTTTATTGCACAAAATACCCACAATTCAAAAATAATATCACGCACTACTGTACGAATTATTTAGTACTGTCACATCGAAAAGCGTACTCAAAACTGCCCAACTACAAAAAGAAGACATACCCAGTATCAAACAATGTATGTTTTTACAACGGAGTGGTCGAAAATTACAGTAAATCAGGTTTGTATTATATAATTTTTAAATTTCAATTTTTTTAAATAATTGTTAATAATTGCTTTATTTGACAACTTTTATATAAACGATTTTTGATAAATCGACTTTTTTTAATGAGTTCTACCAACTGTTAAAATAAATGACTCAACTTTGACAGCACCCTGTATTATTTGCACAAGTTTCATCAATTTGTGTTAAACATCTTCCAGAGATATTTAAATAAATGTGCTACATTTTTAAACTTAAACACTTAGGATTTTTTGTCCAAAATGTTCCAAGGAATAACCTCTTCAAATGATGACGTGGACTTAGAATTGAGTTCTTCATATTCACATTTTCCGTCTACAGCTTTTTTTTATTGTAATATTTTGAAAAATGTGCCCTCCCGCGTTGTGCTTTGATTAAGTTTTTCACCAATCCAGGTGCTGCTGTGATTGGGGCCAGAAAGATGTCATCTGCCATGTCCGCCGCCAAAGCCGCTTGCGACCACATGAAGGATTGGTTCAGTGGAACTGCCCCAGGCAAATTCGTTTCTATGGGCGTAATCAGCGACGGCTCTTACGGTGCACCGAAAGATGTAGTATTCTCCTTCCCAGTGTCCATCCAGAATGGAAAATGGCAGATCGCTCAAGGCTTACTCCTTGACGATTTCGCCAAGGAAATGTTGGCGACAACCGGCAAGGAACTAGTAGAGGAAAGGGCAGAGGCCACGGCCGTAGTTGAGGCATGACTATCTAGCAGGCTTTAAAATGTTGAACTAAAAATCAGAATTGTTAAAAAAAATTATTGTAGATTACAAAATCTTCATTGCCATGATTTTAAACGTAGCATTAGTTGCACATCTTTATTTAATATGGCTTTTAAGTATTTTATACAATGTTTACTTGCATTATCTGTTTTAATTGTGTAATTCCTGTTTATTGGTGTTTATTTCTTTGTTTTAGTTTGACCTTTTAAGGCATTTTTATCTAATCTAAATTAAGTAAGAGAAGTATTTTCAACTATAGCATTTATTGGTGTACTGGTATTTTTATTTTTATTATAATTTCAAAAACATTATGGCTTTAGATCCTTTAGATAAATTAGATTTATTAGATTTATATTTTGGTTATGGCAATGTTGAGCGTTGTTTTTGTTTGTCTGCTGTTTAGAAATAAACGAATTATTTTTGTTACTGTGTTTTTAATTCTCTTAGCACTTGGTTTGCTGTTGATGACGTGTTGGTTTGTGCAGGCCCGGTCTGGCTCTTCCAGGAGCCGTCGGGAAAGATCGAAATCGGGGCCTATTTGGTTTTTTCTGTTATTAGGGTGCATATCGACTCTCCCAAGGAAAACTGTCGTATCTCAAATTTGGTTATACTGAGATAATTGCATTTGAATAGTTGAGAAAATAATAATGTTCGTTATTTTTTTTATTATAAGAGCTAAATCCTTCTTTAGCAAAATACAGACCTAAAAGACCGTTTAATTTTTTACCATCAATTGGCAGCAAACCTTGATACAATTTTGGAAATTGATATTCTTCACGTTTGCGTGTGTTTTTTGTTTGTAAGTCTAGTTCTTTATGATTTTCTCCAAAATTATAGAAAAAAAAAACTTTATTGGGAGACTTTGGATCGCACTGGATTTCTCTGATTTTACTGATTTTTACAGCCTCTCCAGTAATATCTTTTTTCCAGTTTTGTTTCTTTACCATTAGTTTAAAAGTTACAAAATCTTCTTGAGACATTTCTTTTACTTTGTACTGTGGGGCAGTAACTTTGGCCATTTTTATTAGACTAATCCACTGATCAGGAGTGTATATAGCAGAGTGACGTTTTTTTGCAACTTTAATCACAGCATGCATGCTGTCATTTGCATTCTGCGTGTGGCCAATTTCAAGAAAACGGTGTGTTATTTCTAAATCCAAAGTCATTGATGCATAAGCAAACATCGCAAAAACAAAACGATTACGGTTTTGACCACCGCAATTGTCGAAATAAAGAATAACCTTTCGTATGCCATTTTCTTTAACACATTTTAAAAAGATCCATAAACAACTTCAAATTTCATCCGGTCCTCTCTTCGATATTTGCTCATGTCATACATAGCAATAGCCTTGATTGCTGCCAAAATCATAAATTGTAAAGTTGTATGTTGCGATTTTTCTTTTATAATAAAAATCGCTGACTTCTGACTTGGGCGTTACTAACACCTTCTGCAAATCAAAGCTTGCTGTTATTAGAGATTTATCATCTTTCGACAATTCTTTATCAATGTCTTTCAGATTTCGAACCGCAATTTTCTTTAAATTATGATTATTATAATCATCATTTTTTCTGTTCTCTTCTCGGGATCTGTAGTCTTATAGGCACTACACACGGAATTTTTTTGGCTTAAAGAAAGCTATATTAAATTTCGAATTCTCTCGTTTTTCCTCCAGGCCCACGGCTTATAGATAAAGGAGTTATTAGTTTAAACGGCTTGGAAGAATTTATTTCTGTACATTGTTTATAGGGGTATAGGTCAAAATAATAAAATTTGTGTTATTTTTTTTGACTTGGGAAAATCTCATTTCTACAAAAGATTCAATTTTAATTTTACATTCTTCTTTTTTTTTCAATTTACGGTGGCTATATCTCAAGAATTTACAAAAGATTTTCTTATACTTTTGGTGTCTCGTTAGTCGTTTGGGGGCCTATCTTCCAAAATAAGTCGGGTTTTGCCGACTTCCCGACCTGGCCAGACCGGGCCTGGGTTTGTGTTGAAGACTAGAACAACATAAAGGTAAGTAAGGTTTAGGTTGGTACGTACACACCTGTTAGAACAAACAAAAAATAATTGACCATAGAAAATGGAGTATTTTATATAAAATAATTATTAAGGTGGCCCAAAAAAAAACGATTTTTTTTTTCGTGTCTTGTGAAAATATGTTAATTTCTCATGTTTTAAAAGCCCTCAAAAAATCAGCTCAAAAAAATTTTTTTAGAGGTCTCAAGATTTTTAAAAATTTCCAAAATCGTCAAAAATTTAATTTTTTTTTTAGATTTTGTTCTCATTATCATTTTCTAGGTTGAAAAAAAATCTCGATGCTGAAAATTTCAAATCGATATTTTAATTTCTAAAGGTGGATCATAATTATTTTAATTTTCAAAGTAGTGTACCTATGTTTTCGAGCGACCTCTAAAAATAAATCTGGAGCTTGTTAGAAAAAGGGCCAATGTCCAAAAATTACATTTAACATGTTACATATTTGCAACACAAAAAGGCCAAATGTCAACAAGTATTATAAGCCTTAATTATTTAAATTTTAAATTGGCCTAAGTCCATCTTAGTTTAATAGAAAAAGGGCCAATGTATGGACTTTGGTCCTTGAAATACTTTTAAAACGTTTGACAAACGACCAATGTCCACTGCAATGGACATTGGCCCTTTTTCTACCAAGCTCCAGAAATATCAACGAACTAATAATTTTTTTTATTGAATTTGATGAACAGAAGAATATAAATAAATCACGAGACACTTAAATTTTAAAAAATTAAGAAATTATAAATATTTGATACAGTGCGGTAGTAAATTTTGCCTTGAGAAATTTTTTAAGTGTCGTGAATTATTCAATAAAAAAATTATTAGTTCGTTGATATTTACTTTTAGAGGTCGCTCGAAAACATTTTAGGTACACTAATTTTAAAATTAAGATAATTATGAGTGACCTTTATAAATTAAAATATCGATTTGAAATTTTCAGAATCGAGATTTTTTTCAACCCAGAAAATGATAAAATAATGAGAAAAAAAATTAAAAAAAAACAATTTATGACGATTTTGGAAATTTTTAAAAATATTGAACGATCTAAAAAAATTTTTTTTAGCTGATATTTTGAGGGGGCTCTTAAAACATGATATACTAATATATTTTCATAAGAGACAAAAAAAAATCGTTTATTTTGGGCCATCCTAGTACCCATGTTATATTCTAATTTAGATAACTGCAAAAAGAAGATACAAATTGGTTTAAAAATAATTGATATAACTGCGCATCATTTCAAAACAGAAACTAATTATTTGAAAAAAGCTAGATAAATTATTATTCGCGTCTTTTGATGTGAACCAATTTATCGACAAAAGGCCGAAAATATTCGTATTTGTCCAAATATTTGCCAAAAAGTCCGAAATTTTAATTCAAACATGGGTTAAGTTACCCAAACATAGAAACTTCGTACCTGAATAACGTACATACGTGTGACGCTGGAATTTGTGTTGATTTACATTTCAAATGTTTGCTAAAGAATACACATTTTTTATCCATATATGCATTAAGTGGTTTAAATATCAAATATTTGTACAAACAAGCCTGTTATAGAGGCGGGTCAAGTAAGCGATCTATAAGAATTAATTTTATAAATACTTATTCTTGAACATATTTAATTTACAAAATAAACATCCGGTTTTGGTTGGTTTTGATAAATCATTTGCCTTATTATAAGACACTGTAGAGATTTCTATAAATTAATTAAATTTTATTTTTAATCGCATGAAATGAAATCTTCACTTCATAATAAATAATTTTGCAACAAGTTATTAATTTTATCTTTTTAGATTAGTTTGTATGTCATAAATATTAATTTAAAATATTAATTTTGAATTGAGTAGTAAATTACGAAAATTTGACGGATTTGTTAGTATTTTTAATGAATGTACGAATATATTGACGTATCACAAGGGGCCGACATACAGCGGTCTTCTATATGAGATTAGAAGATTTATTTCGTCTCAAATTTTGTTCTTCAGGTAAGTTACTAATGATCCTGGCTTAGAGGTTTACTTCAGTTAACAAGGGCGTCGCCAGCCAATGGGCTAGAGGGGGCAAGATAAGAGAGAGAGGATGGGAGAAATATAAATTATAGGTAGAAATAGGTATAGTGAATTGATTTTTTTAGAAATATTTTTAATGAAACCTTTTTAATACAAAAAAAGACATAAAAATATTAATAACTAAAAAATAAAGAAATTCAACGAAAATTAGGTAAAACATAATCTCGGATTTTTTTAATAAATTTATTAATAAAATCTTCATGGTTGTCAAAAATAAGCTTTCTGTGTATACTCATCATTGCTAGGTCATTGATATGATTTTGTACCATAATATTTCTGTCAGATTTTTATTCTTTTTGTTAATTAAAAATTCCAGAGCTAAATTTTTAAAATATATTATAATATTACTTTTTAACATAAAATTTTTTATTTTTAAATTCTAGTTCTAATTTATTACAAATTGTTTTTTAAATAAATTAAGTAGTGGTATGTAAATTTTCTTAAGTTAAGAAAATTTTTGTACTTTTTTCGAATTTCTACGAATAACATCTGGCATACGTATGCATATATGTCGTGGTAAATATAGGTTTTAAAATCACAATACAGGTTCAATAAATGGTAAAATATTTATATATTTCTTGATTTTATAAATCGTCGTAACACTACGACGATTTGATGATTGTAGATAATTATTTATCTACTAGATGTTTTATCCTTCATCGTTAATTGGATTTAAAATTTATTTGTTCATTAAAAATTTTTAGATATTAATTTATCGAATATTTGTCCAGTTCTGAAATGTCCAAACGTGGTGAATCAGGATGATCTAGCAAATTATAGGTCTATTCATATTTTGCCTTTAATGTCATCATACAGTAGATAGTTGTAAACAAGAACATTATTATTTCAATAAAATACAATTTTTTCGAATATTTTTTATTTTAACACAGCATTTTAGTTAAGTATAATCCGTTCTGTAGGTATTTAACAGGATGGGAATAGTTAAACTAATTTAATTTATAACTCATATTCACGTCACACGTATTCATTCATTGTGACAGTTTAATCGCGTTTTAGGATAGAGATTATGATTATGTCATTCTTTAGAGGGAGTTGGAAATTTCGAATAGCCTAAATGTTCAGTGCAGTAAATTTATCATACCTATATTATTTTTAAAACTATTTATTTACCTGATTATAAAGGCTTTTTGTGTCGGTTATAAGGGGCGATAAAATTAGGAAAATGATTAAAAATAGTATATTTCTTTTTATACGGCCTTTACTTGAAGTCCCCTATGCCAACGTAGTTTCTAATTTGAGAAACACTACTAGTTGAACACCTTTTTAGGCATGATCACAAAAAGTCACATAAGTTATTTCCAGAGAATACAGTGGTTGTGGCACTTGCGGCATCGCAACTGTGTTATGTTTCGCCAAGAACGAGTTGTCTCCTGTGTTCTTGTCATTTTCTCCTAATTGCCTCACGTAAATTGTGCAGTACCTATTCCTTGTTAACTGTACGACTGGGCAATAAAAATTCGTGACGAACTATTCCATCGTAGTCGAAGAAAATGGTTTGAAGGACCATCACATTTGACCAGATCTCGTCTCAACTTCGATGTCTTCTTGACCTGAACACATTTGTACCATTGATAAATTGTCGCCAAAGGCCTTCTTTAATAACTAGAACGATTCACTGCCTTAATGAATTAATTCGGTTTTTAACACCAAATATCATACGAACTCTCTGATAGAAGATACAACAAGGACAATTTGAAAATTCCTGTTACTTTTTACTTAGCTACTCACACTTTTTATATTAATTATAACAGCACAGCCATTGAACATTGAACAAAAAAAGTTTATGCATAATACAGTGGCGGCTCGTCAGGTGACGCAAGTGACGCACCGCTTCACCAAAAATTTGCGCCTGGTTGTGCAATTTAAAATTATTTTTAATTTTATATAAATTTTGTAATTTAGGTATAATTCTATATTGAAAATGTATTGTTTTTGTTTGTTTAATACGCAGAAAGACAGAATAGTTACGCGGTAAACGCCTTCTAAAAAATCATTGCCTTCGTTGAGCGCGAACATCAATCTCGTACTATACGTATGTAGCATACGCAAGAGATGCAGATCAAAATGAGTCTGTATTCCGCTTCTCAACGAAGCGTTGTTTACGGCGGTTGTCTTGACAACGAGGCGGCCAACACGGGAGTAAACTACGGCGTGGGGGAACGAGTGACGTGGATATTGAAGACGAGGCGCCCAGTGCACGATTATAACAGTTCTTAGTCAATATTTGTTTTGTTTAATTATTGTAGAAATGTTTCCTATGTATGATCCAGTATGTATTTTATTGGAAACTCCATTTTCCATGTGGAAAATTGGGGCGTGTGGAATATGGAGGAATTTTACAATTTTGGGAACGGCACGCGAGGCTGTCGTAACCACAAAGTTTTTTTGGAACATACATGTACGGTGTGCGTGAATGTTCGCAGAAGTCTACAAGCCGGACTAATATTTTTCTTTTTTATAAAATCTAAATGAAAATCCTTCTCGCGAGCGTCAGTTTTTCGATAATATTGCAAATGCAACTAAAAATTTCCAGATTCATTTAAAGCCGTTTGACCTGGAAAATTTTCGCCTGCGGCGTTTTTTTTTTCGTTGTAGTTAATCACTGAATATGCTTCACCTATTCTCAATGTCACGAGCCGCCACTGGCATAATATTATAAATAACTCAAATATCTAATAATAGGAAATGAAACAATAAAAAAATTGAGACTCACTAAGACTATTCTTATACGGGGTGGCCCAATTAAAACAGTGCACCAAATATTTTCCGGAAAACCCTGAAACAGGTCGATTTTGCTTTCAAGGGGGACATCTTTTGATAATAAATTCATGGATGTAGGATCATCCCCCTAAACGGGGTGGCAACCCCTTCAAGAATTTAATAATGATTCGTTTACAATGGACAACGACAAACCGTTACGTCTACGCTCGAGATAATGCGATTGCTAGTTGATTAAATAGAATCTACTGAAATATTACACGAATCACAGCCGGTGGCATGTCGTGTTTTAATGTAATCTTGTTTTAATAATTTTTAATTTTAGCGAAATTTAATTGTCAATATAAAAGAAATAAAATTATTGTTCCAAATCAAATGTGTAAGGTTTCCGCTTATTTAATTTAAACTGAATAATTTAAATGTAAAACTATAACAAGTTATGTATTGTTCTAACCAATTAAGTGATTTAAATTTAAACGGTTCGGTTTAAATAGAATATTAGATAATAATTTTCTCAGTGTATCTGTGGCGCTTCCACTTAAAAGTCATTGATCGAGACACCGCGCTCTAAAAACTTATGTACCAGTTCTCGCAGCTGCTACTGACCTGTTAAGGGCTCTAAATCAATACTTATATCAACGTGAATATGGAATTATATATTACCATATTTGAAAGCGCGTATAAATAAACTTTTTGGTACCGCCGCATTCGCCAATTTCTATATTACATCCCACACGCCGTATGCCAAACGCGTAACCATTGTTTGCTCTTAACTCATCGTCCCGATGAAATGTCCGTTAGTTTTGTTTTGGTGACCCGACGATGCTATACTTTCTCCTGAATATTTGAAATAAAATATCGATTATCCTGCATTTCCCACCGACTGTAAACCAGTAGCGTCGGATAGCTTTTGGGTGAACATTGTGTCAGTATATGTACGCAAGACTTGGGCTTCGTGTCGCCGAATCCACACTTATCTAGTGCCTGTTGAGGAACTCGTACCGCACTTTCTCCCGAGTTGCCACGTAACCCTTTCAGATAACCTAAAACCACAGACTGTTCGGCTGCACGACAAGCTGCCGGTAATGAGTATCGCGTTGGTAATTTGGTTGCATTGAGACATTGTGTATGTGTAACAATTTTCGAGGTTTTGCTTCAAAAATGGTAAAGATTTGCTTTATTATTTTTTTTAATAGCAGCTTTATAGAGTTTTAGTTTATGCGAGTTCTTAGAGAAATTAGATGCTCTCCAGAACACATTTGAATTACTTAGAACCTGTAGTGTAGTATTAATTTATTAAAAATACTTTTACGGAAAGTTAAAACTCCAGTTACAAAGCATTGGAAAATTTTCTGGATTTTCAATACTTTGATATTAACTTTTCTTGCATTGCACCTTAAAAAACTAACCGCAACAAGTGTAAATTCTATCAAATTTTGTATATATAAGAGCGTACGTAATAGCGGGAAACATCGAAAATTAAGTTTTCAATATGGTGGGTGCCAATCAAGTCTAATAAATTTATTATGAGTTTCACGACTGAATTGTAATCCCCACTTAATATAATATGTTGATGAAACATAGTGTTTGAACCAATACAAGGGTGCTGCCTAATTGAGATCTCTAAGGGAGGGATTTTCACTTGATGATTTGAACATTTACGACAATATTTATTACTCTGCTATAAAAGATAAAGCAGTGCTTATATTGGTCCATATAAAGAGAAAATTATAGGTCTTAACATTTTTGTTTCAAATAAATAAAACAATTATTCATTTTAAATGAAACATTGTCCTAGAACATAGTTTTTGAAAAAATTAATTTTAATGAAAATCACCATGGAATTTAGAATATTTTCTGTTCAAAATAACGTATATGGCATTATTGTATAACGTGTTATTTCATGTATCGATTTTTAATACAATAACAGTAGTTACAACCATATGAAACAATTTTGTAGTTTTGATACATCATTTTTGTTGCTAAATATACGTTATTTTTACAAATTAAAGAATACACCTTTACAAATTTCAGTAAACCTCGAATTTCAATAAAATTAATTAAATCAGATTTTTTAAGCAAATAATAATAACAATAACAATAATAACGATAATGATATTAATAACATCAAAATAACAGTAACAGTAACATTAACGTTAAAGTAACAGTAACTGCAACAATAGCAGCAACAGCAACAGCAACTGCAACAGTAACAGAATCAGTAACAGTAACGGTAACAATAACAGTAACAATAAGAGTAACGATAACAGTAAATGATTTCAAATTTATACCCGTTTGAGACAGCAGCAAAACGTCAAAAAATGTTTAATTTCTTTGGAAAACTATATTATCGATACGGATCACCTATTTGACATTAGCTAGAGACACTCTAATTTTTAAAACTAAGTACATCATTAAGAATAGCTAAAATATACAGGGTGTTCTGAAAGTCCATCAGAAAACTCCGGGAGGTGTTTCTACAGATTAAAATAGTAACATTATGTAATGAAAATTGATTTCGAATTGTCAATTGTTTGCAAGTTACAGCTTGTCAAAGTTAATTTTTTTTTATTTCTATATTTTAATAACTTATTCAAGTTCGATTAGTCTCTCATTTGGCACACCCACTAAGTAGATGAAGCTCTATTGGACTAGTCAGACAAAAGTTTCATTATGAGCCGCTAGAGGGCACCTTACTTAGAACTCAAAATTTGTTTTGTTCATAACTTTTTTATCTTGCTGGACATCACAGAAATTTAAACATTATTGAAGAGAAAAATAATATAAAAAAAAATTAGTATTAATTCAAGTCGATAAATGTAACCGTTTAGCAAGAAATCGCTATTAAAGTGTTATTAAACGTCAAAATTTTGATAATTCTTTCTGCAATTAATCAAGTTGCCATGCTGTAATACCATTTCTTGTAAAACCAGCTTTGTTAGTAAATAAAACATTATTAGTAAATTCATTATCTTCAGCTTATTTTTCCACAACGTTATTACACAGCCGAAAAAAAAAAAATTATGGTGAAAAATCAAACATATCTGCTTTAAACAATTTTTGTTATAATTCGTAACACCAAAGAATGATCAAAAATTTGATGTTTAATAACACTTCAATAACGATTTCCTGGTAAACGGTTACATTTATCGGCTTGAACAAACAGTACATAAAATTTTTTCTCTTTTCAATAATGTTTAAATTTCTGTGATTGTAGCAAGAGAAAAAAGTTATGAACAAAACAAATGTTGAGTTCTAGGTAAAGTGCCCTTTAGCGCCGCATAATCAAACTTTTCCCTGACTGGTCCAACAGAGCTTCATCTACTTAGTGGATGTGCCAAATGAAGGACTAATCGAACATGAATTAAATAAGTTATTTAAATAGAAAAATAAAAAAAATGAACTATTAACTTGCAAATTGACAATTCGAAAAAAAAAATTTCATTACATACTGCTATTATTTTAATTCATAGAATCACCTCCCGAAGTTTCCTGATGGACTTTCAGAACACCCTGTATAAACATTACTGTTTTCTAGTCTGTAGCAGAAAGTCTAGAGGAAAATTACCTAATTAATATTTCTCAGAAATGGAAAAAGAAAAATTACATATCTACACTACTTATTGAAATAAAAAGATACAAAATGTATATTGCATATACAAATTTATAAACAAACAATATTTTCATATGTTCCGACCAATTTGAAGCAATTTCAGGAATTTATTAATGAAATTTGCCCAATCAATTTTTAATCTGTGGACCAAATAATAATTACGTTTAAATCCATGATTTCAGAGTGGTTAGGAAAACTTTATGTTATATATATGTACATATATTAATTACGTTAATAGAACAAAGCGTGGTTTACACAAAGCGGTTGCTTTGTTTCTAGTACCATTTTCGTTTTTGCAATCAAACGGTAACTAGTTCGAAGCCATTTAGTGATCACAGGCAGTGAAATGCACTTGAATTCAGTACTTCCGGCTTGACAAATCAACTAATAGAATGAACGGATTAGTTACCCCAGTTTTATCAAGTTATATTTAGGTATATGAAAATTTAAAGGTTAATACTGCATTTTGTCGTGAATAAAATTGAATATGCGGTATTTGATTTTAAACTTTTGTAATAACAACATTTGAATATACTATGCAGGTTAATATTAATTTGAAATGCATAAATTAATTTACAATAATACAATTATAATGAGTTCGACAATAAATTAACCATAAATGAAATGATAACAGGGAGTGTTATGTTTTCGTTCTGTATTTCTGTAATTAATATAGTGGAATATTCCTCTCTAGTTTTTTACAAATTTCATAAAAAGTTTATCTCTTAATTGTCGAATTTTAAAAATATTAATAGAAATCCAATTTGGTATGTTTTCCTACATTATTGCAAATGTCAATAATATTATTATCATTTAAGCATTTAGTTGCCCTTTTTGGGTAAAAATATATCTAGCTTATAAGGAGGCTCTTATGGCATATATTTTTTGCCAGTCAAATATTCTATTACAGTAATCGTAACAAAAATTCTTTTAAATGATGTGTTTGCCTTTTCTGAATTTAACAAACTGTGGCTTATTTAAAGGGCTCTTTAATGGGATTTATTTTTATAATAAACAAATCAAAAGTTAATTTGTATGCTCAACGATGAGGTGTTTTTCAAAATAATGCCATAAACCATTTCCTCAAAAAAATTAAATGCAACTCTATGACTTCTTTGCTTTTCTTTGTAGGCCATTAGTTAAGAATAGCATGTGTGAAAACAGGGTTTTAAAATCATTGCAAAAACGTTAAAAAACTTTCCGTGAGATCGCTGTAAATACGGTATTTATGAATAAATAAATATATATGATGCATTTTTTAGTAAGAATGAAATAATAACGTGACATATATTTTCTGTGAGTCGATACTAAATAATCGATGACCCAGTAATCACAAAATTTTATATGTTAATAATTTTGACAGTCCGACTTTGCTTCAATTACAAAATTCCAAATGCAAAATGAATTTTTACAACTTATCCCAACTTATTTACAAATTTCCCTTTGGTCAAACTCTTGAAACATCAGCAAAAGAAAAAGTCAGAGCAATATTTATTAACAAAATCCCCAGGTTGAGACGTCTTTATCTAAAATATAGATATTATTTTATACTCAATTTTAAATCTCACTATCTTACTTACTACTGTTTAGCAGATATCTGGATGAAAAGAATTTCAGGAGATCATATTTAAAGGAATGTAGCGTCCTCAGTAAATCCCTAGTACGTAGTTTTTTTTTAAGAAAACAAAAAGACAGAAGTGTTGTAGAGGTTAAATTGAACAGGACTGAAAAATGAACAGCCAACATGGATTTTATAAAAGCAGAAAATTCATGAACAAATTATAATTATTTTTTGATGTTTAGAAATAATCTAGCACTTCGTACAACTATGTTGCGAAAATATTAAAAATCTCTTAGAATTTTTTAATTAATTATTTAAAGTAGACGCGTAAAATAAATGTTTTAAATAGGTATTTGCTGCCGTTTCATGACGTCATTTGGAACGATCGATAATCGAGAAGATAAATGACAGGGACACAGCATGGACATAGTAACAAGAGTCGAGAAACAGCCGAATTCACTAGAGGCCCTCCTCATGTGTCTTTCTTTTGATTAGGTTGCATATGGTCGGCATAGAAACTGTACATTAAATGATATACAGCCGAAAGGAAGATTGTATTCTCAGTCACACTAAATGACGTCACAATGCATAATATTGTATACTCTAAATTTTGTAAGGCTTTGATCGTACAAACGTCTACAAGTCAAAAAATAAGAAAAAACTCAAATGTTGTTATACAGGGACGTAAGATTAACAATTTTCAAAATACAGCGAGTATTGGTATTGGGGAGCTTCATCACAATGTGTGCTTAACCTAACGCTACACAGCTGATGTATACCGTGTGCACGCGGCAGACTCGTCCTACGGAAAAAATGTAAACTATTATTGTGAAATATTTAGTAAATTTCAAGACAATTGTTTTCCAGTTTTTAAATAAATAAAATAAAATGTATCGGTTTTGTAGTACGAAGATGAAGTTGTGTGTGCTTAAATTTTAGCTCGAATTTTAGTCATCGTAAAACGGGAACTTAACTTTTAATCAAGTTATG